CTCACTTTGCGTCGTCCGGTGTCACCCTCACTGTCCGCTCCTTTGGAGCTCCGATTTCATCTACAACATCCGACGAAGAGCTGCTAACTCCGCAGTCTTCGACCAGTGGGTAATGTACCACTCCACGCGTATCTAGAGGGCTGTGCCCAAGATGTCTCGAAGTCTGTCCGACCACGCCATTAATAACATGCTGCGACTGCTTCGCAACGAGAGCAGTGCTCAGTGAATTACGTGCCACTTTACGTGCATCACGGGGACCTTCGCCCTCGATGCCTCGGCCCTTGGCCGACCATGTCACGCATGACATGCAGCGACTGCTCCGATACATGAGCAGCTCTCAGTGGGTTTCGTGCCACTCCACGATCAGCCTGCTAACCACGCTCGGGACTCCTGTCCAATAAACCAATTTGAACTTTCCAATGTCTAGCACGCTGACCATCTCGGTCCAGTGCTCTCACCAATAGCGCTTTTGTCTCCTAGCAGAGGTTGTTTCATGACTCGCCAAGGCTCCACCAGGAGACGTGCGCGTAGCGCCCAAGATCTTTGACCTCCAATCAATCTATGGCTCATGGTGTTCCAACCATGCCATTTTAAGGATGAGGTCATACCTTTCGTCCAAGTCCAAGACTAGACAGCATTCCACGCTATCAAAGTCAAGAAACTTGGCTCCGAGATCTACAGGGACCTTCGGGACCGCGACACGCGTCCCCATCGTTAGGCAAACATTGAAGATGTCACGCAACCGCGCTTTCAGCGCCTCAGCATACAGCTGACTTCCTTCCACCGTGGAGCGTCGAGCATAATTGCCCGACGCCTCGGAATCGATGAGGATCTTCCATAGCTTCTCGAGGCCCTTTACGGTCGCCTCGACAACCAGCTTGCGTACACGTTCCGTGTTCAAGAGCACAGAGCTCTACGAGGCTGGGCCCTGTTGACCTCTACCTCCCTGGGGTTCGACAGAACTCAGTTCTCCCCCAGCAGGTCGCCCCACGCCTACTGGGTATTGTCGTTTCCCCGCGACGAACCTGACTGGTAGGCATTGGGGCGATGGCTCGAAGAACCTTGACGCGCCTTGCGCCGAGAACAACCGTTCCGAAGGTGACGGGTGCCTTCACAGACAAAACACCGTCGCGTGTTTGTGAGTTGCCCGGCAGCTAGGATCTCTGCTCCCTCGTCCTCAGCAAAGCTGCGATTCATAGCCGTAGGCCCGCTCGACGTGCTGTTGGTGTGTGCATTCCACGCAAGTCGTGCCGACTTGAAATTGAATTCGGAAATCAATGCCACATTCAGCCGTCTTCAAACGAAGACGGATGCACACGGAAGAGTGTCCACGCCAGTGCGGGGGCCTTCCATAAAGCCGGTCACTGTGACGGCCTTCGGAAGGGGATCTGCTGCCATCCCGGCAATGAGAGTGCGCATCTCTTGGACAAAGTTCACCAAGTCCTTGTTGCCCTGTCGGGCGGCAAGGAAACGCCATCGCACGCGATACGCCTGATAAGGCGGCAAGAACATTCGTGAGAGCTGCAATTTCAGCTCCGCCCAGGATGGAAATGCAGCTACGACCGAAGGGGCGCACGTCAGTGCCCATTCTCGCGTTCGACCACCGAGCTTTGAGGTGGCTAGCGCAATGCGCTGCTGCTTAGTCTGGAGCATGGCGGATGCGATGGCTATCTCGACCTCTCTCACTCGTTTAGAGCATGGCGGATGGGATAGGCATCTCGACCTCGCTCACTCAAAGCAGAAGATTCTATCCATCCTTCCCCTCAACGACCTTAACGCTCACCATGAGCGGCTTAGGGCGCAGAAAATCATCCGTCACTGACGGTGGCCTCATAGCCGCAAATGATGCAGACATCTTCGGCTGCAGATGCTCTAGCAGCGCATTTTTGTAATTTCAAAACGCCTCTAGACGCGCACCGATTGCCTCGGGGGCCTTGCGCAGCAAGGTGTTACACGCCCTCAGGGCCAAGCAAGGTCATCAGCTTTTTAAGCCTGTCCTGCATGCTCTGAGGCACAGAGGAAAATTGTGTCATCCTCACAGAGGGTCAGTCTAAACGACTCAGATGTTGATTGACTACAAGTGCTACCATGTGCAGCGGGGCTGCCATAGCTTTGCGCTTAGGGAAAGCATAATTGAGGTCACCGACCTGACGTTCTTCACAAAAACCAGTACGAGTGTAGCGGATCGCAATACGCTACCTCCAAGAATAGTTAGAGCCTTAACCAAGGCTAATAAACTCTTTTGTTTAAAATGTAAACTGTATTCATTTGTTTTATCTGCGGCAAAGCCGCCTAATTTTAAATGTTTAGATTTTCCTAAATATATATACTAAATAACTACTGGCTACCCAGCCACTTACCGTTTCTTATTTGGGTGCAGTCACACCATGCCCTTCTCGTGTGACACACACCCCTGTTACCAGGGTACGTGTAACCCCAGTACAGTACCAGACCACAAACCCGATGGATAGGTATTCGATGTGAGGCGAACTATGGTTTGACCGCGCAGTTCTAGTTATTGACTGTTGAGATTGCTGGATATCGTTACAAAGATTATACTTATGGCCACAGTTACTGTCATGGTTATGCATATTGATTACAGGCATTATGGTGGTCGTGTATTGGTCAAGATGTGTTAGTTGCAATCAGTAGGTATTTAGGTAGGTAGCTCAAGATGCTAACTAAAAACCAAATGCATTAAAAAAATTTCTGTTTTTGCCATCAATTTTTCAGGTGAACTGCCGCAACCAAGCCTCACATCTCGTCTCCTTCACCGCCATGACTACCAAACGCAACGAAGTCCTCCTGGGTGATAATGACTACCCCCATTTGGAATTCAACGTGAGGATAGAGCTTGCAAGAAAAGGGCTACTGGGGCACATCACGTCCACAAAGGAAGAAAGCGAGATTTTTGGAGACCTGGCTCATGATGATGCCAAGGCATTAAGCAGTATTGCCTAGGGCGTGGAAATTTAGCATCAAGAACAGTCAGCCACTCACACTTTGAAGGCGTGTGAACGCTTCAGGATTTTTACAAACGTTCCACTTTGCACAACCATGTCGCGATGGCATGCCGCCTCCATGAGCTTAAAGTCGAGTGTGGCACTCGTATGGCGAAATATCCGGACGCGTTTGACATATCGTTCGTGATCCACCAGATGACAAGAGAGCCAGTGGATAAGTCAAGACCGCTAATAATACTTTTGAGCAGCCTGCAGTCGGAGTATGAGCTGATTTTTTCTATTGTGAAAAAACACCACGCTGATCGAAGTCTAGGAGAAGCTGTTGATGGAGTCGGAGAGGCTACAGAAAAACGAGGCAACTGAGATAGCGTTTTGCGCTACTGGAAACAAACGGTGGCTCAAGGGTAGACGGGGAAGCGGTCGCAAGAGCTACGCACCGCCAAAGGACGGTGGTTTAAGGAAATGCTCAACTGCGGACAGGTAAGCAGATAATTGAAGTATTTCCACGACGCTTTATAACGAAGATATCATTCGTATTGGAGCTAGTCTGCAACGGGGTTGCCGTAGCTATTTCGCTTAGAGGAAGCTTCGTTCTATACTTAGAACCAGAACGAGTGTAGCGGATCGGAATCCACTTACGCCAAGAGAAATTACAACCTTAAACCAATGCTAATTACCTCTTTTATTTAAAACGATAGCTGTATTTCTCTGTAATTTATGGCAAAGCCGCTTATTTCTAAATCTATAGGTTTTCCTATCTAAGTAGTAAAAGCTAACCAAATGTGTAACTACTGGCTGGAACAGGTACAGACTACATATTTAAGTGCAATCACACCATTGTGTGGTCATAAAATTTTATGTAACCCACACCATCTTGTGTGACTCACACCCTTAATACCATGGCACATGAAACTTCGTTACACTCTCCATTTTGAACACCTACAGCTCACATTAAACTGTTGCCTCGAACGAGGCTCGCATGTCTAAGACACCACAACAACACCAGGACCTTCTTTGCGAATTTTCTGCTCAATGAGCTCTGTGTCGAGAACACGAAGATACTCAGCTTCGGCGGTTCCGAGAACGCCCGCAGGCAGAGCCCCTCTTCGTCTTCTGCACGCGGTGCTACTTCGAACAGCATGTCCGCAGCTTTAAGGGAAGTGCAACCCAAGCTCTCTGTAATTGAGTTCTGCTCAGCGCATTGTCGGCGACAGGGTCGCACGATCAACAACACAGACGCGATATCTACTCCCGACCGCGTAACGCGCCGCCACGGGCGATGGATTACCTCGTCTAGGATTATGAGGAAGTCGATTACGAGTCGGGTATTCCTTTTCCAGGATGGGAAGAAGAAGATGGCGAGGTGCGAAACCGCTGCAGATGACGAAGAGTTCCTCGAGCGATGGGTGCAGCGGCACCGAAAACATTACTCTCTGTACAACTTACAGTTGAGCCACAAGGATGTGGATGCGCGCGTAAAATACCATTTTTAGTTTGGGTTTGCGAAACTCAAGGCGCGTCGCCGCCTTCCTTCGAATTTCTGGTCTGCGACCTTTGCCTTGATCCATCGCTCTCCATCTTCAAGGTGCTGGGCGCCAAGTTGTAGATGTCATCAGCGGGCCATCCGCAGACTGATGATCAAACAGAGCGCGTGAGCTGCATCGATGAAGACGTCTTCGCAGCGTCTGCGCTGAGACTTCGAGGCGCTAGAGCGCCATGCTGCCACTCGTAAAATTTGCTCCGAGCAATGCAGTGCATTCATTTACCTGCTACACGCTGTTCTACGTGAATGGGCTCGTTCATCCTTGCGTCTCGCTGACGCCGCCATCTCATGTTTCAGGGCTTCGTGGGGGGGTCGGCAAGCGGCCAGCTGATGTCAGCCCTCTCATTGTCAGTAAAGAAGCACCATAAAGAATATTTTTGTAGTTGTTTCTTGTCCAGATGACGTCTTTACTACCAGACTGAGTGTCGCTGAATGGTCTAAAATTGACAAGTTTATCTTCAGATGATCATATGGTGAGATTTTGGATGTTTATCATGAAAGATCGTCACAAAGAAGCAGCGAGTAGCGAGTTGGCCGATATACTATTTCCTGGTTTCTCGAATAATATCTCGACATTAATCGCTGCTGGACAAAGTAACGCTAACTCTGTCATTAAGTCTCTTTTGGAAAATCTGAAATTGATGCTAGAGAAAGTCAGATTTCTTTCTAGTTCTTTCACATAAGCGTAAAAATATACCTGCTAACAGTGATACTTGAAATATTCGTTTTACTTGAATTATCAAAAGAGTCAGATTGCGCTTAAATAATTAATAATTATATTATTATTATTATTATTATTATTATTACAGTACGTCATCATGGTACTAGGTTATCTCTACTTGTTTGAGAAGAAAGAGCGCAAGTCACGCTGTTGAGGCGGCCCGCTTTGCTGTTTAGCCTCCTTATTTGCCTAGGCAGCGTCTTCCACAGCAATATTTTTTCGCTTCTTCTTTTTCGCAGCTTTCCGCTCGTTTTCGATCTCGTCCGGCGTGGATTCGACATCCTGATAAGATTTCTCCGTGACCATATAACCTTGTTCATCGATACGAGTCTTCGAAACGAGTCGCAATGATAGGCTCCTCTTCAGACTCGTCCAACCACTGGTAAGAAGAGATACTATTACTAAAGCACAATAATAAATTTCTATATTACAACCGCTCTATTCATTACAGAAGATTGATTTAAGTGGTATATACTAAAGATAACATCCAATATATAACTTTTTATCACAATTAGATTGTATGGTACGCATGGTACTACTTCACGGTACATATGGCTTTGCTCTAAAATATTGCTAGATTTATGTATATATTAGAACAGGGTACCCTAGTGGCTACATGGACCCGCTAAAGCACAACGAGTGATAGGGTCAGAAAGTGAATGTTTTGGATATAAATAC